TGCCTGCTACTCCAGCTCTCAGGAGGCTGAGGCAGGAGGACTGCTAGTCTGAGTTCAATCTGAGCTATGTAACAAGTTCAAAGCCAGTCTGGACTACAGCATGAGACCCTGTCTCCCCTTCCTCCAAAAGAGTGTGTGTGTGTGTGTGTGTGTGTGTGTGTGTGTGTTATTTTCTTACATTCTCTCAAGTTATGGACCATAGTAAATGGATTAGGATGTTATAAAATGGAATGTGAGGCTCGGAGAAGCTAAGCAACGGCTCTGAAGCCCTGTGCTGTTTCACAGGCCACACACACACACACACGCGCGCGCGCACGCGCACGCACGCTCCCTGCCTGACCATCCACCACAGGCTTACCTGCATGGATGCCCTTTTCCAGTAGGAATCCACAGCGTTGTTTTCACAGTCTCCTGAGGTAGGGCAGGATTGGTAATCGAGTCCTATGAAGGAAGTTGACAAACACATTTCATTTGAAAGATTGCGCCAGTGAAAAATTAATTTTTAACATTAGGCAGCTCAACTTTGGCCTGCATTCTGCACAGTGTGCACAGATCCTTCACCCTCCCCCAGACTTCAGCCTCTGTGGTGGAAAAGGAGGACAGGAAGCAGGGCTGGGCCAGGCCAGAGCTCAGGCTCTGGGGCCACGCTGCCTCAGCTGCTGTGTCCCCACTACACACCCTGCTTTAACTTAATTTCCTCCTATGTCAAAATGGGGATGTTTTTCTAGTTAATATTTTCTTTTTATTGGCACAGACTTGCAGTGTATAATAATTACACAGAGTTGGTACACGCACCTCATACATCTTAATTTTCCCGCATTCCTTTCTCCTCCTCTCCTGTCTATCCCTCCTTCTCTTGGTGCCCTTCTATGAGATCCCCTTCTGCTATTATAAGAATAAATAAGATGGGGCTGGTGAGACGGCTCAATGGTCTAAAGCACCTACTTGGAACAAGCTTAGCAAAGCACAGGGACCGCGGTTCAATCCCCCAGCACCACATGCCCGCCAGCCCCGCCCCCTGGTGGGCTGAGCTGGCCACACACACACACACACACACACACAAATAAAAAAAATTAAAAAAAAAAAAAAGAATAAATAAGTTAACTTGCATAACGTGCTTAGACCGGTGCCTAAGAAATGGTAAGTGGTCTCTACCTGCTATCGTTAGTAATTACCATGTTGGATCTACTTCAGTCAGGGGAGCCAATGAGATAAATGCATATGAAAACATCCAGCACAAATGGCAAGCGTGTGATGACTGGCACTTTAGTGTTTCTTGCAATGTGCAAGAGCCTTACCAGAGGCATTTTCCTGTCGGCACCAATTCAAGAAATCTCCAACGCGACCGTACAGAACATCACACAGGGGCATAAAGCGACGAGCACTCTCCGCATAGCTAGTAACGAGGAGGTGATTATTTTCCCAAAACAGGGACTAAGGGGAAAAAATTAAAAAACAAGGTGAAATCACAACAGACCACTCAGGCACAGGACCAAGCCAGGCAGCCCATTTCTCATCCAACTCTGACCTCCTGCAGAATACAAAACTTTCCTTTTCTTTGTCTTTATTTATCCATTTGAAGGCCACTGCCATCTCTCCTCCCTTTGTTTCTGGGTTATCAGGTGAATGTTAATGAACTATTTTCCTAGCAGTACAAAATACTTTAGTTCATGTGGTAAAATCTTTGAATTAAAAATATGGATAAGCTCAGAGCTGTTGTTCACCTATCTAATTCCAGCTACTCTGGAGGCTGAGGCAGAGGGATGGGAAGTTCAAGGCCAAGAAAAGGAAATCAAGAGAATTGGGTAAAATCTTGGAGTCCTGGCTCTGTTGTATACTACATGTGTGTTCTTGACCAAGACACATTAATTCCCCGGGTCTCCGTTTCCATGTTTAGAAAATGCAGAGCCAAGTGCTTTTTCCTCACCCACAGCTATAATTAGGATGCCACCAAGTGCAGAGAGCACTTCCTGGAGTGGAAAGTCCCTCAAAAACATCACTCTTACAGGCCACCAGGTGATAACAATATGCCCTGCTCGCTGGTTCTTCTGATGCTCTCCGGGTCACTAGTCTGTGCCTCAGCTGCAAGGTTTTCAAGATGAAGATGTCACTGCTGTATCCTTAAAGCCTAGCACAATCCCTGGCACACGAAAATAGCCACTAAGTATGGATGGAGCTCATCAGTAAGCCCATAAAATTTATAAGAGAGAAAAATTACGCTTCCACTTGTTCCCAAGACGGAGGCATCAAGGTTCAAAGTATAACGGGTACCTTGACATCGTGTTTATAATCTATTTTACTTAACACTTCATGGTTCCATCTATTTGCCTTTATAACCAACACAGGATGCAAAAAATCAGACTAAGAATGATTGTGCTAGAGAAATAAAAATGGTATCTGTCTTTAAAGCCAAGGTACTAATTCTAAACAAGCATTTTACATAGATTTTCTCATTGATTTTTATTTTATTAAAACTTAGAGTTCAGACAGAATATAAACATGGTTTTCTTAAAGAAATTAGTACTGAATAATACAAGACCCATTCACAGGAGAGATGTCTATTGGAAGAACAATGACATTGAGGGTTTTCTGGATTACTCAAGGTCAGGCCCTAGGGCCAGTTAGGGTAGAGGTAATTCAGGACAGGGGTAATGCAGAGGCGCAGTGTGGAAGCTCTGGCCACAGCTGAAGTCTTTGTGGAGACTCCTGTATTCACTGGCTGACTCAGGAAAGTACCTTTGGTCCACACAGGGGCAGCAGACCCAGGGCCCTGTTGGAGCCAGAGCTGCTTCGCACCAGCAAGAACCGAGCACCAGCACGCTACTGTAAGCCCAGAGTACTGCCTGGTGTTTCCCGGATCTGCTGGCTGCTGGGGGCAGCTGACCTCACTCCTGGCTGTGAGCCCTCCTCCAGCATAGAGAAGGAGGGCAGTGAGTTATCCAAGGCAGGTGTCATTACCTTGTCACTGGGGATGGAGTGCCTAGACAGGTTAATGAAAAGATCATAGTCCGATGGAAGCACAGAGCAGGGATGTTTGTCCAGCACTGCTTTAAAGGCTTCCCAGATGGCTGTGCAGTTCTTCTCTCTGCAAAAGCACAAGTCAAAACTGAAACAAAGGCATCACCACATGCTGTGAACTATTTCCATGTCTTTAAAAGTTTCACTTTTCTGTCATGTGCTGACTGCAGGACTACTAACAACAAACGACAGCACATGGTTCAAGCAATGGACTTAGAAATCTGATTTTGGGGCTGTCTCTCAGAAGGCGCTACACAGATTTCTTGGAGCCAGGAATAGTTTTGCCCCAAGGTCACGGTGGAAAAGGCTGCAAACTAGAAGGTGGCAATTTTACTAAACCACGCTTCTTCTAAGCACCTTTTGTTCCCCCTTTTCATTGCTGGGGATCAAATCCAGGGCCCCTGCGCAGCCCCACATCCTCAGCCCTTGTTCTTTAAGTGGGGCCAGGCTTACTACCCAGGTCCATCTGGGCTCCAGGCCAGGCCAGGCCAGGACAAAAGGGAACAAAATCAAAAGCAAATGCCCGCTGCTGGGAAAGGCTTCACCCTGATGAATCAGAAAGCAAGCCCCGTGCTGCCAGCGGCTCTTCCTAAGGTCCCCGTTAGCAGGTCACATTTCCGACATTGTTGGTCCCGTTCTCTTTCTATGCTGGGTGGGGTAATATTGATTTTCCTTATTCTAGTCTCTTTTTTATTTACCTGAAATGAGTCACAATAAAAACATAAAAAAGAGATTATGAAAACAAAACGAGAAAGGGTTGTGAAGAAGAAAGAAAAATCTGTGCTGGCTGGAAAGAGGACCGCTAAAGTTAGGTTCGGAGGTTGGGGTCTGAAATTCCTGACGCAGCTGGACTCGAATTCTGGGTGCAGACCGAGTGCTGGGGTCTGAGGGCCAGCTAAGCCACTGCTTGGTAGTGGGTGTCATCCGTCCAGCTCTGGCTCCTAGCCTGACACTTTACACACACCCTAGACTGACACCTAACACACACGCACGCACACACACACACACACACACACACACACCGCACACCCACCCCGCACACCCACGCTTCAGGATCTGCTGCTGCTCACCTACTAACCCACTCCTCCCTTTAGACCCGGCTTCCCTCCCCAGCTCTGCCGCTGCTCACCCGGACTGCGGGCGCAGCAGCGTGATGTACTCGGCGCAGCGGCCCAGGAAGATGCTCCGCAGCTGTGGACTGGTGCCCTCCCCGCTCCACCGAACGCCCGCCGTCAGTCCCCGGCACAGCAGCGCTAGCAGCGCCAGCCGGGCAGCCTCGCATCCCCACGGCGCCATGGAGCGGACTCAGACTCCGAAGCCCGCACCTGCGGACTCCGCCCTCGTCCGCCCTCGTCCTCCCTCGCGGCGCAGGCGGATCCCGGCGCTGCCCCGCCGCGGACTCTGCCCCAGGCCAGTGCGCTGGCTTCTGCCCTCCACCGCAAGTGAGGACCGACAGCTGGGAACATCACCCGGGCAGGACTGTCGCTTTGCATGGAATCCTCCAGGAGGATGCCCAAAAGAAGACTCGAAATGGGTGGTAGGTGAGAGAATTTTAGGCCTCCCAAGAAAGATTTTTTTTTCTGGCTCCAAATTATAACTGTTCTCAAGGGCCAGCCCTGATTGGGTTTTCTTTTCAGTAAATAGTAGTAACAAAAGCTAATACTTTTTTTTTAATTTAGAGAATACTTTTTTACATTTCTGTAATCAAACCCACATAGATAATACCTTACATATTTAATAGTTTTAGCCCTGTGCAAATGGGAAAAATTAAATTTACATTTCTAGATCAATATAGCTATTAATTTCAGTACAACGCTGACTCAACATGGTAAACTGGAATAACTTTTTCCAAAATTGAGAGCACAGTTAAAGTTTCCAAAAATACAATATATAGCACTTCTTGAGTTGTTACTGTTAGAAGCACCTAAGATAAAAATATTACAGGCAATCAGATAGGGCTAGGCCCTGGAAGGAGCTGGAAGAAGATACAACTTTGGGGGGCACTGGCATTTCTGCTGTGGCCAGATCTCAAGACAAAAGATAAAATAAATGCTGGAATACTTCTTAAGGATGAAGATATCAGGGACTGATAGTCTATTTATTTATTTATTTATTTATTTATTTATTGTGTGTGGCCAGCTCAGCCCACCAGGGGGCGGGGCTGGCTGGCATGTGGTGCTGGGGGATTGAACTGCGGTCCCTGTGCTTTGCTGAGCTTAGCTTGTTCTAAGTAGGTGCTTTAGACCACTGAGCCATCTCACCAGCCCCAGGGACTAATAGTCTAAGTAGGTGTCAGATCACCTTGAGCAAGCCAGGAAGGGTTGCCAACTCAACTCCTGTAGGAAAAGCGCTTGCTAGGTGACTTGCTTCCCGATTTGACCCTGATTTAATCAATTTTATCTGAGCAGTTACACTGATAATCTTATTGGTTAGCCATAGGTGTGTCCCACCTCATGCCCATCTTGAGATGTCCCATCTTTCCCATGGTAGATCCCCCTCACATTGTGAATTTGCTCTATAACATTCCCTAGAAAAGGCAGGGTCCTTGACAACCCACTTAGTTCCACTTCCCTTTCTGGGACAGAAGCTCTCTTCCCCCAATAAATATATTTGCTCTTAACCACCACCGTTGTTCCTGAAAGTCCTTCTTCAATTCTGGAGGCCGTGGCCCTCTAGCGGGCTGGGGCTTCTCTCCCCTCCTCATCCCATGCGCGGGGCCCTGGGCTTGCCCAGGATGCCTTTCCTTAGCATCTCCGGCTGGGCTTAGCACTGTCCCCATTTCAGAGCTAAGGAAGCTCAACACGGAGAAAATCTGCAGTGGCCATCTTGCCCACAGATGAATGCATATCCTGGGGACGGACAATTTAAGGAGTCAGGATTAAGACACACACAACAGGGCCCTACATGATGGTGGTCCCATCAGACAGCTTGGCCCATGCGTTAGGACCGTCCCACAACACCCACTGGGACAGTCACATGTGTACCACAGTGGCTGAAGGCGCCAGGAATGTATATGAATGTCAGAAGGAAGGTCCCAAATTAGCCAAACTTGATCGAAATATTTGGCATCTTTTTCAAAGAGAACACACACCACGAAGGCAAGGGCTGAAGAGAAACTGAGGAAAATGGGAGTCATTCAACACACAATTATCTTATTCTTAGTTCCAAACTTGTGTATTGCAAAGAAAAAGCCCGAATAGCAAGAGTGAAGGACAAAGCTGAGAACAGATAGGCACAGAAAAAAGAAGGCTGCCTGCTGCCCGAGTGACTCCTAGGTGCATCCATAAAGAGAAACACGTGGGGTTGGACGCCCAGCGTCCTGCTCCCAGCTCTCCGCAGGCGCTTTTTCTTTGGATTCCGCAAGGCTGTGTAGTGGGCAGGGAGCGGAGCAGAGGGCGTCCCCCTCGTAGGGCTGAGAGCTGAGGGAGGCCACGCTCCGCCCAGAGCCCAGCGCAGCCGCTGCAGGCCCGGGGTGGGCTGCTCACCCGGGAGGGCAAGCGACCGAGAGGCCGAGGGACCCAAGGGGGCGGGGAGGGGAAGGACCCGGGCAGAGGCGGGGTGTGGCCCGAGGCCGGGGACCGAGGAGCACGCAGCTGGAGGGGCGAGGGAAAGACCGGGAAGCCGCTGAGGGACTCTGGGAGGCGTGCTGGAATCCGAAGAGGGGACGCGACTGCACCGTGGGCTGCCCGAGAACAGAGGGAAGAAGGGTGCCAGGTGTGGCGCGAGGGCCGGGGACCCGCGGAGAGAAACGGGGCCGCGCCCGATCGGCCAGGGATTCCGCGGGTGCTCCGGAGCTCGACCTCCAGTGCATGTGATTAAGGGACCTCCAGGCCGAGTAGGGGATTGCCTGGCAAGCGCAAGGGCCTAGAGTTCAATCCCCGGTTCCGAAAGAAAGTTCCTGCCCGAGAAAGGGGGGTGGGGGCTGAGCGGGTGGTCCCCAGGAAGCTGTCTCTTCCAGAGACTTTTATACTGTAAAACCATGTGGTTCTAAGGTGGAGAACATGGAAACTTGTTTAGGTGGGCATGAGGTAGGATAAAATTAGTTACCCAATGAGATCAAAGCATTATTGCTAAGGTGAAACTGATTAAGTCCAGGACCAAATGGGGAAGGGAGTCGCACAGCAAGCTTGATTTTTCCAGGATTCCTCGGGGTGATGATCAGTCCGGGATGCTAATTTTTTTTATTTATTACAAATTAATTTATTTGGAAGCAATATATGGATTTAAACTTCTGTACAAATATAAATATTTTAAAAATTCCATCAGGAAAGGCATGCAAAGTCTTTAAGTACAAGAGATCGTAAGATAATTTTTAGAAACTGCCTGGTTCACAGTAGGTTCACTGATTTGAAATGAATTTATTGAATATCTATTAAATGCTAGTAAGCATAATGTGAGTTCTTGCTCTAAAGGAATCCAGACAATGTTGTATATGGTTAGATTTCTAAATTTCTGTGTAGGGGCTGATGAGATGGCCCAGTGGTCTAAAGCACCTACTTAGAACAACTTAGCAAAGCACAGGGACAGCGGTTCAATCCCCCAGCACCACATGCCAGCCAGTCCCGCCCCCTGGTGGGCTGAGCTGGCCACACACACACACACACACACACACACACACACACATAAATAAATAAATAAAAATTAAGAAAATAAATAAATTTCTGTGTAAAAATTTATAATTGCTTCTCTTTTATTTCTTTTTTTTTTTTCACACTCTATGGGGATTTAAAGTTTAGCATATCAACAATTGATGGAAAATACCTGTTCCATGTTATGTCTAAGGTGTTTGATATTCAGACAGATACTGATGTTAAGCTCAACAGCCTATGTCTTAGGTAATAATATCATGAAGCTTCTCTTCTGGAGGGTTAACACCTCTAGCTTGCAGACCGGATGCTCATCTTTAGGGAGGTCAGCATGTGTTCCATCTCTGGTCTCTAGGTCTGGCCCACCGTAGGAGCATCCATCTCTCACAGTTGCAACAAAGCTTGTCTTCCGCGCTGTCGGTTTGAGGGCCTGGCCCTGTCTGACTGCCTATAGTATTTTTGTCTAAATTCGGCTGCCTACAACAGATGGAGTGGAGCGCCTCTTTCAGCCCCAGCCACAGAAGGCACCTCCAAAAGTGGAACGTGTGCGCTCACCTGAGATGCTCCTACACAGGGTTCAAGGTGTGGCTCGGTTTCTGGTTACACCTGGTAAAACGAAAAAGGGAAGAGACAAAGTGAAGGTGGTTATTTAAAAATGGAACCAGTTTGATGACTTAGATTACCCTGAACACGCCCGATCTCTTCTGATCTCGGAAGCTAAGCAGCATGGGGCCTGGTTAGTACTTGGATGGGAGACTTGGGAAATTCTGAATACAGACACTCCTTAAAGTCTTGAGTTCTATTCCCACAAGGTCATTCAATGAATTAGTTGCAAATGAGAAATTCTATATAATAAATACAATATTCAGAACAAAGAAATGCTCAAAAGATGCTTCAACTTGATGACTTTGCTGTTGTTTACATGACTTGGTCTGTGTTGTTTACTTTGGTTTGGTTTTTTTTTTTTAGAACC